CTCACTACGTTTCAGGTGTTTTTCTAAGCACTTTATAAGTATCATCTCCTTTAATCCTCAACACAGACTAATGAGATAGATACCATTACCCTCTCCACTTAACAGAGGAGACTGAGGCCAGGACTATTGTGTCACTGCTCTAGGTGACTCAGAAGCAGATCCAGAACTGTCTCCCAGGCCTGACTTCAGACCTGCTCTCTAAGCACGAGACTATCTATGCTCTACCTCATCACAAAGTTCAGATGGGAACAGGGACTAAGAGATGGGGCCCATTTACCCTGAAAAACTACAATGCATTTGAGGACTGATAAGAATTAGTTGCATTATAAAGGGAGGATTTGAAATCAGAGGACCTCATGTTTCAGACTCCACCACCATCCATTTATATGATTACTTACAAATCACCTGACCACTCAGGGTCACAGTTTTCTCATCATTATCTAGTGTTGGCATATTAAAAAATAGGGGGGAGATTTGACAAATAAATATGAATTTTTAGAACTCTTTGAGAACTTAACTTTATTTTTGCACTTTGCAATTTACAAAACACTTTCACATCCATCATTTAAATCTATGATGAACTGTGAGTTCGGCCTAATAAGGATGTTATTATCAACATTTTATAGATTGGATATTGAAAGCTCAAGTAAATTGACTTGTCCAAATTTAAACAGCAAGAAATCTGTGTGGTTACAATTAGACGTAGCTTTAACCTTATGCTTAATTCTCATAGAAGCCTAATTTTCTTCTCCCTCTCCTACTTTTTGGGGAGGTTATAGACACAATGGGATTATAAAATTGATTTTTAATTAAAATCTGGGAATGATTTAATTATAATAGAAATAAGATTTAGGGTTTACATCTCAGAAAAGGAAGGATAACAACAGATAAGTACCAGCAACTAGTTATGCTGGTGGATAAACCAGGCCTTTTACCACTTCCTGGTTTTGTCTCTAGGGAAAACTCTAATCCTAAGAGAATCTGCTTCCATCGCACAAATAAATGATCCACAGCCTTTAGTTTTCTCTCACCATTGCCCTCTCCATTCATGCTGAGCCAAAGGCAAACTGTGAATGAAACAAGACAACTCTGTTTTGTAAGCACCAGTACATGGGATACACTGGCACATGTTCTGCTAAGTTCCAACAGTTCTCTTCATGGCTTCTTAAGAGAAGCAGAAGCTACATTAACAGAAGTTACCTTCACCCAGAGAGATAGAGGAGAGAGGATGACAAAACAGGCAGGATCATACAGCAAAAGAGGGAAGGGGAAGGAAGAGAAGAAAGGAAGGGGAAAGACAGAGACAGGAGGAAATGAAATATTATTTATCCAAAGGAAAGAATACTGAACAGGGAATTGGAAGAACTGATTTTTAAACCCAGCTCCAATACTAACTAGCTCATGGTTCTTGAATCCCTGAACCCCTTTTGGCCTCACTTGTCTCATCTCTAACATGTCAGTCAGCTCTAGTCATTCTTGTGTGTTAAAGATCGTTGGCACAGGGGAGGTAGAAAGCTCCCGGTAAACACGGCCAGTATCCCCACCTACAGCTAGCGGTGGTTAATGTTAAATCATTGCATTTTCCCAGAACAAGGGGATTTGCTCAGACTCCTTCCGGGCTTTCCTCTGAAGTCAGCTCATGATTATTTAGCAGCTGATTTCTCCTTGCCTCTTCCTCCTTTTTCTGACCTCTGACCTTATAATAGTGACTTCATACCCAACCAAGAAGGGCCAACTGACGTCGAAATCAAGATAACAATCAATCAATCTACTTAGTTCCATGTTAACAAAGTCTTTTATCTGGGAGAAAATCAGAACTTGTTAACACCTGATATCTTTGAGGCATATTACAAAGTGCTCTCAAGCTATCTCATTAGGGCCTGACAATAAGACTGTTATTGAAGCAGAAGACAACTAATATGAACGAACCTTTGATAGGGGAGGAAGCAAAGTTAACAGTTGTAAAATTGTGACTCTACTCCTAGTCCAAAAGTCTACTATGAAAGTTTGCTAGAAAACTGAGCAGAGCATAAAAACCACCCTTTCACCACACTCCGTTCCTACCTCCAGGGGCTCAGAGACAGCCTTTCACATTTAAGAGCATGCCAGCTGCTGGCACAGGCTGTCTCATTCTAACCCCAGAATGCAATCTGGATAAAGCCACACAAGTTAATTAGGACGGCTGGAATTACATCAACTCACTGTGGTAATAATTGGGTGCCTCATGGGAAATAAAATAAAATGTACCATAAAAAATGAAATTTGTCTGGCAAAACTAATGAAGAAAGGGTAGTGAAGGGTTCGAGAACGTGGGAATAGTGCAAATAGGCAGATTTCTTACTTTTTAGAGTGGAGGCTTAATATAGAGTATTTAAGAAGGCACATCAATGGAAGCATATTACTTAAATAAGTAACCATTGAAGAAACTAATAACGATAATTATAAATATAAAAAATCAATGACGGAGAAGTTTTTATCTTTTCAAGAAGATGAAAGAAGTGAGTTGTCAATGTAATTGGGTTTATAGTATGGAGTCAATAGATAATATTCAAAAAAGATAGGAATAAGATAGGTAAATGCAGTACTCCCGTCCTCCCACAACCATATCAAAATTACAACTAACCTTCAGAATCATTCAGAACCACCTGAAATCTGGCTGAATGGAAGTCCTACAACTAGGGAATTAAAGAAGAAACCACATGGAGACTTGTAGGAGGGGCAGAGGCAGGAACAGGCTGGTCCCACGCCCACGTGCGGTGGATAAAAATTAGGAGGGATGTCTCTGGCTGCAGAGGTTCCCCATGAAGAGCAAAGGGTCCCAGCCCCATACCAAGCCCCAAGTCCAGGGTTTCAGTGCTGGGAAGAGAAGTTTCCATCACTTCTGAAGGCTGCTAGATTCCCAGGCAGTTCCTCCTAAAGGGCCCACACACAGATTGACTCACTCTTTCTGAGCTCCAGCACTGGGATAGCAGCTCGAAAGGCACTAGGGACATACAGGAGGAACTGAATTGTCTGGCATCAGGACAAGAGCTGGGGGGTGGGGGGACAGCTTTCTCCCAGACAAAGTTGCTGACAGAGTCCATTGTTCCTTTGATGAGTCCCACTGAGCCTGTAGGCGGGTGATATATCTGAATCTTCATCAACCTAGCTATGACTCTTTGCCCTGCCCTAGTGACTCCCTGAGATCCCACCTCACCAAACTTTTGGGCCCACCCAAACTGTTTCCAGTGCCTTTTCCATAAGTGGCCTATCTTGGCTCATGCTTCAGACTTTCCTAAAATCTCTCAAACAAGCAGCATCTGCCCTCAGCATGCCCTGTACCTCTCGCTAAGTGGCCCCAGGCCCAGCGCTAGTAGCAGCCTGCCGCGGTTTGCAGGTTGGCCTCTCCTGAGAACCTCCAAGCCCAGCATGAGTAGTAGCAAGCTGCAGATCACTTTGTAGCTCAAGCTGGGTGGCCCTGGCCAGAATACAGGTGGCAACTGACCTTGACCTGTACTTCTGGGGAAGTCCCAGAGCCAGCACACCCGGTGGACATGTTCAGATCACAACAAAACACCATCAACAACCTCCACTGTGACACACTCAAAGGGTGGACTCAGCAGGCACCAGAGCCCATTTAAGTAAGCCTGCTCTGAGGGATGGGCCCCTGCAGAGCTGATCCTCCACAGTGGTCGGTGGTCAGCCGTCCTTGCAGCTGATCGGCCTGGAAGGAAATCCCTCCCATTGACATACCAACAGCAATCAAGGCTCAACTACAACAGGAGGGGTACACAGCCCACAGGGGGTAGGGGGCAGCACAACTAGAGTGCCCAGCTTGGGTGATAGGGGAGGCTATGCCACTGGATCTTACAGGACACCTACTACAGTAGGCCACTCTACCAAGTCCCCTAGATGTAGCAGCTCTAACAAACACAGGAAGGCTGCCAAAATGAGGAACAAACAAACAAACAAAAAATGTTCCAAATGAAAGAAAAGAGCAAAACTCCAGAAAAAAGAACTTAACAAAATGGAGACAAGCAATCTACTAGATGCAGAATTCAAAACACTTTATAAGAATGCTCAATGAACTTAGGGGAGGTGTAGTTGAATTCAGAGAGAACATCAACAGCATAAAAAAGGGACATTGAAACTGGTAGGCAGCTTAGACACACACGAGCAGAGCAAGTACGATGGGCCAGGTACAGAAAATAACCAGGGTATGTCAAACCCAATACCATCTGCTTGGGGGGAGGGGGGTGATTCCTGCCTTCAAAGTCAAGGAGCCCACAATTTAATAGGAAGAGCTCTCATTCAGAGTTCATAGGAAGACAAATTCTTGACTTAAAATGTTAGATCTAAATATGTCTTTCTGAGACCATATCAAGAACTTACTCAGTTCAGCAATCCTCCCCTGTAGACCTCACCAGGTCTCTTGGTAACTGTCAACATCTCTGAGACAGTTGATGTTTCCTCCACTGAGCTTCCAGGGAAGATCTAAAGAGACTTATTTTAAGAAGGACTATTGGCCATCATGAAGTCTGTCTATTGAGCTTTACAGAATAATTGTAATTCCCAAAGGCATTATAATTTTTTTCCACCTCCATTCCACTGGCTGTGCTATCCCTTCTACTTGGCATGTTCTTGAACCTTTGTCCCTCTTTGGCTAACTCCTACCCAACGTCAAATATTGGCTCAGGTGCTTTTCCAGGAAAGCTTTGCTGATTCTCCACCAAACAAATTGGTTAGGAACCTTTCCTACCATTCTCTCACAGCTCTTTCCACCTTACATTTAACCATTTACTTATCAGGTTTTCATAATAAAGTAAAAATTTACCCAAAATTTTATCCCTATCTGACATAGAGTAGGAACTCAATGATTGTTTTATAATTCAATTATAGAGCTTCACTGTTCTCCCCTGGGTTCTCCCAGCTTACCAAACTAACCTGAATTTTGTAATTGTTTTCCCTAAATGTCCCACCCCCACTGCACCACTTTCCCAAGGCTAAGACATCATACTCACTTGTCCAGGGACATCCCAGGGAAGGTAAATTTGCCCAGACAGATGCGATAGACAGCACTCAGGGGAATTTGTTGCAACTGCACACAGCTGAGCATGATGAAGTCATATTTGCAGATGAAGAGAGTCTTGTCTGTGACCAGCAATATCCTCTCCTTCTCATTGTTCCAGTGATCTATCCTGTAAGAATCATCATAGAAAAGTAGAGTTGATGGCATAATTTTTCCAAGTTAAAGAAAATGGCATTCACTGAAACATCTCTAGGAAAACAGAAGATGGTAAAGTTTGGTAATACAGTTTAAAGAGGGGTTGAGGAATACCATTTCCTCTCTCTCTCAGCTTGGCTCCATGACCAAGGTAGAAGGAAGGCTGAAGATCACAGGGAAAGTTTTATGGACACAGAGCTCAGAGATGATTACCAATAAAAGATCCATTAGGGGAACAGCAAGTTTGTATCACATTGGCAGTCAACTGATTCATGCTCCTCCATATCTCCTCAATTCTCTAGAAAAACTTCATGAAGCACATCTTCCTTCATGCACACAATGAACATCTCTTTGTTGTAATGCAATCTGCACCACAAATTTTACTCACTAGGCACTAGTTTATGCTAATCTCCAAAGATCGTATTGCTGACTGGAGATAAAATGGGGATTTGAACATAGGTCCACTGATCCGCAAGCCATCACTATTTTAAGCTCATCCATCCTATCATATCGTTGTGAAACAAGTGAAGTAGGATCCTTCTGAGCTAAGAACAAACTAGAGGCTAGATAAGTATTTATTGAATTGATTTGCTTCAGACTTGAGGGCCTTTCAGGGCATGCAAGGAAAATTGGGTGTTAAAAATCTCTCTAGCAGAGAGAACAAGAAAGAATCAAAGCCATCAATTCTGGTTAAAAAAAAGTGAACACGGTCTAAAACTCCTCTTACCCATAGCACTCCTGCTGCCTGTTTACTACAGCCTTTAGTATATAACACTTCACGACTTTTAGTAGAATTGCCTTAGTACATGCTTTGTGTTCCCTAAGAGACTAACAAGGGTGATTTGTGATTGATTTATATCTAAATCCCCACTACATAGAATCAATCTAATGTAAAGATAGTGTGGGTACCCCACTCCCATCCATGCACAGTAACCACAGTGCTACTCTTAAAATACAAGAGGAACAATATCATTCCCTGTTCACCTTATTAAATAGCTTCTTTTCTATCTTAGGATCAAATTCAAATTACCTAACCAGACTGTGGGTTCTTGAATGGTCTGGCCTCTGCCCAGCATCATCTCACAGCAGAATGAGAAAACTCATTGTCTAAGTCATGGTTCATGTGCCTCATCCAAAGATGATTTCATAAACTCCAGTATAAATCTGGTCCTCTAATGCACTCTCTCAAAGCATCCTGGTCTTTTTGCCTTTATGGTACTTATCACCATTTGTAAGAAGGAATTCTATGTAAAAATTTAGTTAACAGGTACCACATGGACACTGACGATCAGAATGTACACCATAGGACAGAGGGCAGAGCAATGGCAGTGAGAAGGGATGAAGGAGTACCATCCATGTGTGTGTGCATATGTGTGTGTGCGTGTGTGTGCTTTCCATGAAGGCAAATGGCGACAAGACTAGTATTCATCTCATTAATTTGGGGAGAGAATTAAGGGACCTGAGTCACTAAATAATTTTGAGTAACCCTCATACATGTCATTCCACAGCATAATCTAAAGAAAGGGGAGCAGGACAAGGTGAGAAGTTAAGTCAATGGGAGGAGGAATGGGGGGAGATGTAAAGGAGAGAAAGGGGGAGAAGGAAAGTGGAAAGGAAGAAGCAGAAGGAAGACAAGAGGATGACATCACTGATGGAGGTCTTGTTGTAAGCCGGCTGTTCCGTACATGCTTCTTAACGCTACATCTCCCTGCAACCCTTTGAAGAAGGCATATCTAAGGTCGCTTAGCTAGAACACTCTAGGAGATTCAGTGGTGCAGAGTCCGAGAGATCTGGTTGAAATATTGGTTCAAAGGTTTTCGTCTACTCCTACAACACTGCAATACTACACTCCTACTTCACTAAGTGAAGTAGAGAATTCTGTTTAGCACTCTCAGTCTTAGTCAGAAAGAGAAGGGGACTCTGAAATGTCTTACCAGATATCTACATAAATTTCTCTAAATAGATTGCATCTATTTAGCAGCAAGTTATAAGCTGCTGCTTAATAAGCCAGGCTTGTTTTTAGTCTAAAAAAAACCGCAGCTTTTGGTTGAATGGTTTTATTGAAAATGTCAGCACTCCATAATGAGATTTATTTTAAAAGGTAAAAGATTTGGGGGAAAAAAGAGAATTCTTTTTAGGAACACAGAGTGTTCTGCTTTGACACAGACTCTGCATAATTTACATGTCGGGAAAGTCTGAATTCAAGTAAACATGCAGGCTTATAAATAGTTCAGGGCCACCATCTCTAGCTCCTAGGTGGTGTACTTATTTATTTAGACTTCAATCACACCATTTTCCCCCAGAGAACTCATGAAGAAAACATTGAATTTCATATTCTTAATGTTAATATAATTGATGTTTGGTTGGTGATAATATCCAGAACAAATATAGTAGAAATAACAATAATATATTGTGTTGGTATAGCTAATGAGGGTTTACAAAGTCTTTGAATAGCAATGCTCTCATTTCATTTTCACAACAACCCTTTGGAGTAGATGTTATTACTCTCATTTTAAAGATGGCAAAAGTAAGGCCCAGAGACCCTTAAAGTGACTTGCCCAATATTTAATATTCAGCAAGCAGTAGTGCAGGTACCTTAAATGGGTGCTGAGATACCAAATTTAGCCATAGTATTTGTCTCCCCAGTATCATCCACCTCCAAATAGAGGACCCTTCAATATGATGTAAAAATGTGAGAAAATCCATCTCTGGAAGAAGCTAGTGTGATGATAGGTATCACTCCTAGAATTATTCTCTCTGGATAAACTCTCCCCAGGACAATGCTTATGACTATCCTTCCCAAACCTTGTCCTCATTCAATGTTTCCTGTCTTGGGGCAGAATTTTTCTTCTATTCAGTTCTGCAAGCTAGAGATGTAGGTGTCACTCTGGACCAATCCCATTTTCTCATCTCACATGCTTTGTAGTAAACATTTTTCTCCCAAAATCTCTCAAAACCACACACTTCTCTCCTCTGCCTTCACCATCCTGATCCAGTCTTCCCTCATCTCCTGCCTGGACTATTGCAATCGCCCTCTCTCTAGGCTTAGATGACCAGACTCCAAGACCTGGTATACCTACATCTGCTCTTGTTCCCTTCCAACCTTTCCACCATACTGCAGTGAGGTGGACCTTTTGAAAAACCAAATCTGGTCCTTAGCTCCCCACTCTGGCTTCAACACTTCAACAGCTATACAAACACATTTCAACTGTTCCGGACATTCTTATAAAAAAATGACAAAAAACTTTCCCCTGGACTAGGAGGCTCTGCAGGGTCAGGCCCTACCTACTTCTACAACCTCATTACAGGCCAAGTCACTCCATTCTCCTTGATTTTCTTTTAGTGTCTTGTATTCCACATGCCTACTCTTACTAAAGGGCCTGTGAACATGCTGTCCCTTCTGCTAGCAATGTTTTTCTTCATCTTCTTTACCTAGCCAACTCCAATAGTGGTGAGCTCAGTTATAACTCACTCAGGCAAGTGTTCCCAATCTTCTGTGACTAATTCTCTTCTTTCTAGTATACACTTTCACGGTCCCTCACATTTCTCCTTCATAGTACTTATCCCAGATGCAATTTTACAGTTACTTCTATGATTGTCTAAGTAACATCTGTCTCCTCTCCTACACTGTAAACTCCACAAAGATAGAAACAGTTCTTAGCATTGTGTCTCCAAGGTAGTAGGTGTCCAAAAAATAATTCTGAAAGCAGTTAATAAAGAATGAACAATCCTTGTGCTGTGCAACCTAAAAGCCTTGGCTCATAGGGAAATCCTATCCTCAGGTTTACACACTAAAATACTCCCCCATAAAATAGCATATTTTCAAAAAATAATCACATTAGGGAAAAGTTCATTCCATAATTGTGAAAAAGAGCACAATACAAAATGTTACCTTCAGTATAATTTCAGTTTTGTAACAACCACAAAATACATAGATCAAAATGTTTGTGTGGTGAGAGTTCAAGTGACTTATTTCTTTTCATGCTTTTTATAAGCCAATCTAATTTTTTTACAATGAACATATTCTACTTTTATGATAAAATATATATTTTAAAATAATAAATTTTTCCTGCTCTTCAAGTCCTCAGCTTAAATGCTTGCTGTTTCATGGAGCTTCACTATCACATCTCCCCTGCAAAGTGGATGTCATGTTTCTTTTTCTTCAAATACACACCAGCCTTTGTCAGTGCCTCAGTTGTGACTCTAGTCACAATCTTGTCTATATGATTGTGATTTCTGTTCTTGTCCTATCATTTTCCCCACATTTGATGTAGAGATGGTGCCTTAGTTTTATCTGGGTCCCCTCACTGTGCTCAGTACAGAACCAAAGAGAGAGCAGGATCTTAGTAAGTGAGCAGGGCATGGAATAAAAAACTAAAATGGTAAGATTACTGCCTCTGTTGGGAGAGCCAGTCTCTCCTGGCATCTGCCACATCCCCTCTCCCCACCAGTGTTCTTCAGCACTTGTGTCATTTCTCTGCTTGACAAGGAAGGACCCCTATTTCCCCAATATATGAGGAAACTAGGAGCTCTGAGAAATTTGCAGTTTCCTGAGATGACAACAGTTTCGCCAGCAGAGGGCAAGAGCGAACTAACAATGACAGGAAGGACCTGTCTGAGTTTCCAGAACCTCCATCCAGCTACTCAAACCATACCAGATGCCTTCCCAGAGGTCCCAGCCCTATGCCTAACAATACTTTCAGTTGCTCTTTTAAGGCTGTGTCAAATCAATTTGTGGTTTAGAAATTATTTTCTTCCAAAAAAATTTTTTTTCTAATATTATTACCCCACACACATTCATACACGAGTACACACAAACACACACACACACCATTCAGTAGAGACATCTTCCCTGATACTGAACAGAGTAACTATCTGATTGACAAATCAACCTTCCTTTGTGTGTCCCTCTGGCCTCTCAGTATAGCCCAGCCCTTGAAAGAGGAAGACAGTATCTTGGCTAAGGAGGAATCA